CCCCCGTCTCTTCGATACTGGGGCGTGAACCAGGGCCTCACATATGTTAAGGCAAGCTTTCTATGGCTGAGTTATGTCCCCTGTCCTTTTTATTTTTTGAGACAGGGTCTGCTTGAATGCCCAGGTTGGGTTTGAACTTGTGATCCTGCTGTCTCAGATCCCTAGTAGCTGGGATTATAGACATGTTGCACCAATATTTTCTCTTCTTTGAACTGGAGACAATAATGCCTATTTCACAGGGCTGTTGTATTGAAGGTAAAATGAGGTAGTATTAGCTTAAACCATATGTATTAGTTTGAACCATTTTTGTAGGATATAAACAAATATTTGTAACTTTTTTCATGTGGAATGCTTCATGAATTTGCACAGGGAATGCTAATCTATTCTATATTATTCCAATTTTAGTATATATGCTCCCCAAATGAGCACAAATACCTGAAATTTCATAGGATTAAAATTAATACATTTGAAGTAGCCAGCAAGCCGAGCGAGCAGCACACCACCAAAATCCTAGCTACTCCGGAGGCTGAGCAGAAGGATGGCAAATTGAGGCCAGCCTGGGCAATTTAGCTAGATGATGACTCACAAATAAAATAAGTGTGTGAAGCACTGGGTTTGATCCTCAGCAAAACGCATACAAATAAATAAAACAAAGGTATAAAAAATTAAAGAGGGCTGGGGGTGTAGCTCAATAGTAGAATGCTTGCTTAAGTATGTGCAAGGATTCAATCCTCACACACACAAAAAGTAAATAGCATAATCCTTTGACTAGGAAGTACAGATGTCCCAATTTACATGGTTCAACTTAAGATCATTCTAATTTATGATGGTTCAAACCCAATACCTATTTAATAGAAACTATACTTTGAATTCTGTACTTTTCTTGGACATAGCATTATGCACTGCAGTCTCTCTCAGTGGGGCAGAACATCTGATCAAAGTTGCCCAATCAGCCACAAGATCAAGAGGGTAAACAACTGATACTTTGTAGTGCCCTGTTGCTAAGTATAATGTTCTTTCAGTGGGTTAGGTATACTAAATGAGTTAATTGGAGCATAATCCCATTGTAAGTTGAGGAGCATCTATAGTCCATAAATGGAAGCTGAAATTGTAGTTTTATGGTTATTATCCCTAGAAATGGCCAGACTTCCTCTCATATTTACCAGTCTTGGGCTCCCATATAACCTTCTTTTCCATCAGCACTCATGGGAAAAGGTTCATCTTGGACATACTCCTCTTCCTCACTTCCTCTTTTTAGCTGGACACAGCACATACAAGGAGGGCCTTAACCCTAAATGAAAAAACCACATGCCATATTTATTGCTTCTGAACTTATGTCAGAATTTTCCCAGTAAGGATTCTCTTTTACATTTGTATATCTTCAGCCCCTTTCTGACTGATTTTCATTTCAATGACCACCTCTGTTCACCTTGCCACTCAGCCTGGGCCACAACAGTATCTCAGTTTGACACACCCATTGTATATAATAACTGAAAAAGTAAGGAATATAGCCCAATTGCAGAGTGCAGAAGGTCAGAGTAGTTGGGGAAAGAGTTGGTCCTACTCCCTAATGCAGGGTCCCATAATAGCTTCTGAGAACCACATGTGTATGGGAGTGTGAATACAGCACTTTTGGGTAGGCACAGGAGTTCTGACTCCTTCAGTGAAATGTTCAACTCCAGAATTCTATAACCTTCCAGGACTCCCCCTCCTGAACCCTTACCATCTCACACAACTACTCAGTTACTCATGGTGAATCTCAACTGCTTCATAGTTTTTCAGGACCTTCCTGGCCTTGCTTATTTTCCTATCCATTCCCGATATTTTTGAAAAAATATTTTGTTATAGATGGACACAATACCTTTGTTTTATTTATTTATTTTTATGTGGTACTGAGGATTGAACCCAGTGCCTCACACATGCTAGGCAAGTGCTCTACCACTGAGCTACTACCTAGCCCCTCCATTCCATGTCTTTAAGTCAGTCATATTAATGGCATTTTTGTTAGTATGATTGACCTTAATCTTTAAAAAAAAACATTCATGGGTAATTTTAACTATGTATCTTCTCTATTCTCTCATCCTAAACTAGGATGAAGGAAACCACTCAGTCCTACAGACTTGAGCTTGTAAGTGGAAACCATTTTAGGTTAGTCCAGCCCATGAGCCCATTCTTTGGAAATTATATTTCCCACATTCACACTCCAAATCCACAAGCTTCAGGGCCATTTTTGTATTTTGTGACTCCTGGCACCCTGGTTGCAGTTTATTGAACTGTAAGTGTATTCCTGATCTCATCTATACTAAACAAATATTCTCTCCTGGGAATCTGAAATAGGGCTGAGAGATTATGGTTCTAACTAGACTCTATCCATCTCCCACCTATTATGTGAAATGAGAATGGATAAAGACATTCTAGGACACAGAATGAAGCATGGAGAAGTAGAAACTAGAAATGACAAGATAGTTCTCTAGCTCCTGGTGGCTTCTCAGACACTTTGTGAGGCCCTCTGACCTTGGAGTTCTGTGAATCACTCTTTATCTAGAACAAATTGCTTAAGCTCACTTAACTTGTACCCAATACATAGTCTCATTAGCTGAGCTCTCAGTGTAACAAGCATCCCTTCCACACCATCCATCATTCTGTTTCACAGATAAAATAAAGGCCATGAGGGTTGCTGCCTCCACTTTCTCTCCCCTGACATTGGCTCTCTCCCATCTTTTATATTTCACAAAGCCGAGTGGAGGTCTCCCTTCAAATCCAAGGTTAATCCTTTCATTGTGATCTGTATCTCCTTTTTGCCTCTTTGCTAACTGCTCCTTTGCTTACCCTTTCCTTCATGTATATTCAACACTTTCCTCTTTTCTACTCTTTAATCTTAGCACACAAATATGATCAATTAGCCCAACCTTTTAAAAAAATCCTGTTTTAATCTGATATGCTACTGGTTTTTCTTGCCTGCAGTCAAGCTTCTAGTAGTAGTCTATACTCTGCATCTACACTTCCATGGGTGCCATCTGAGTCTTCCCAGAATCTCTACTGAAAATGCTTTCGCCAAAATTACAAATGACTTCTGAACTGCCAGGTCCACTGGAAATATTCAGGCTTGGTAAACCACTTGATGTCATTCGGCATTGTTGATCATCCTATCCTCTCAACCTCTGTTGGCTCCTTTGAAATAGCCTCTTCCAGTTTCTTTCTCATGTGATTCCTTCACTGCATTCTTAATAGACTCCTTTTCCTTAATTTACTATTTAAATAAGAAAACAGGCCAGCATAAGCCTTTTTTTTTTTTCTCTTATCATGCTTTCCGGTGATTTCAACAGCACCCTGGTGAAGCAGACCTAGCTCATTTTAGGCTTCTCAGAATCTGAATCCTCTTCTTACGTTACAAATCATATAGATAAGCAGAGCCTGCCTTCCATGACAGACACCAAAAGTTTGGATCTTTACTTTCCCAGATCTTCAGCAGGTAAGACAGAAGCATATGACCTAGGCTTAGCCAAGCAATCCCCGGAAATGGAGATTCTGAAATGATTCAGAGAAATAAAACCATGGAGAATTCATCCCAGTGACAGTTGCCACAGTAGGCTCAGCCTAATCTCATGCCCAGCAGCTGTGATGTGGGAATTGGTGGTGGTGACATCCAGTGTCTGAAGATAACAGCAGGAGCAATGTTCTTGCTGGGCTGGTTCTGGTATGTGATTCTGGCCTTGGTTCTGGTGAACTCGCCTTCCATTGTTCCTACCTATTTTCTAATCTTGGGTCTCCTACCTGAATCATAGTACCCAAACTAGTGCCCTTCCAACAAATGTTTTCTGTTTAAATCAGCATTAGAGACACACACCTATAAACTGGGCTTCCAAAATCTATATCTCCATCCTAACCTTGAATTTCAAGTTGCCTTTTGGATGAATTGCCTTTGAAACAGCTCCACTTGGATACCTCACAGGCAGACTCATCTTCTCACTCTAAATTTCTTTTATGTTCCTTAGTAAATATCATCTATGATTTATTCAGCCTGAACCTTGAGAAGGAAGAATTTTAGATTTCTATCCTCATTTAAACTGAATCAATTTTACCTTGTAAAAATCTTAAAATTTTTATTTTTTTATGGAACTGGAGATTGAATCCAGCTCCTCAATGGGCTAGACAAGTGCTGTACCACTGAGCTACCTCCTGAATACCAATATGTTTACTTTTTTATTGAGGGGGAGACAACAGAAAAAAGCAGCCCCTAAACTGGCCCCGATTCAGTGGCAGCTTCTTGTTCCATGGGTAAGGAATACTTTGAGTTTTTTGGAAGAATTCATATGTAATAATTGCTGCCATGCTATGATGGGTAGGGGGATGAAGTGAAGTGTGAAGGCCCCTCCCACCCTCCATCTTGCCTCACCCTGTCTCTTGGAACACTGGGATGGAACCACCACTTTCATTCCTTTTTGGGGATTGCTGATGGCTAGGTAGTAATAGAGGAAGACAAGCAAGAAAAGCAATATGCTCAGCATGTTAGTAAACACAGCAAGCTTCATGTCTATAATCACCCTGACCAGCTTGACTCAGTTCCCTAAACATCTTAAATTTAATCTCAATACATCTTAAATCAGTCCCTTTATATTACGACTCCTCATCAGTAGAACTATTTCACTAGCAACCTTACTAGACTCTTTATCTAGTATGTATTGCTCAAATCTATTCTCCACTTAGCTGCCTGGGGATCTTTCTAAAATCCAAATCTGATCATATCACTTCTCGATTAAAACATTCCAATGGCTCCCTGCTGCCCTTAGCATAAAATTTATATACTTTCTCTGGATCTAGTCCCTACTTGACTCTCACTGCCCTTTCATGTGCATCTAACCTCCAGCCAGGCCAAATTAAACATTCTTATAGGTCATGCAGAGCATGTATTCACATTTCGTAAGTACTTAATGGGACTGATAGTCACAATGCCACCTTTATCTCTGCCCCATAGAGATGGATACATGACCCATCAGGTCAGGTAGAGGAGACCATCATTCCAACCAAAGTTATTAGTTCCGGTACAAGTTTGTGACCTAAGTAGAGCCAATCATAATATTCCCTATCAAAGCTCTCTTGCTTTGGAGGACATGGTGTTACAAGGATATGAGATTGGGCTGGGCATGGTGGTGCACGCCTGTAATCCCAGCGGCTTGGGAGGCTGAGGCAGGAGGATCACAAGTTTAAAGCCAGCCTCAGAAAAAAAGGAGGAGCTAAATAACTCAGTGAGACCCTGTCTCTACATAAAATGCAAAAATAGGACTGGGGATGTGGCTCAGTGGTCGAGTCCCCGTTAGTTCAAAACTCGGTACCCCCCAAAAAAAGAAAAAGGATATGAGATTGAAACTGCTGGCACCCAGCTCTCTCTGCTATATGGAGAGAGTACTTATCTGGTAGGAAAAAGAGTAGAGCCACAGCTTAAAGGGAAGCAGAGCACTGAGAGATGGAGCAAGAGAGACCTGGTGATATTTTTTGAGCCTTCTAGTTCGGCCCTGCCTGAGGTCAGTAATGCTATTCACTTCTCAGTTCCCTTTTTGTATTAAGCTATTTTATATTAGTTACTATCATTTGTAATTACATTAGTGCTAATATAGAAATGAAAGGTGATAAGCAAACAATGGAATGTGTAATTGCTGGAACTGGAGTCAAATGGAGTCAGTGATGATTTGATCACTCTTGACTGGGAAGTTAGAAATCCCTGTTGGGTGATGTCAAATTAGCTGGTTAGCTGGGTGCCATGGCACACATTTGTGATTCCAATGACTCAGGAGCTTGATACAAGAGTTCTGCAAGTTTGAGGCCAGGCTAGGCAATTTAGCAATAAAATAAAAGGGTTGGAGACATAGCTCAGTAGCAGAGCACTCCAGGGTTCAATCTGCCAGTAAACACACACACACACACCCACACACACACACACACACACTATTTAGTTAAACTCTATTTTATATTGAGATGTAGATAATGCATCCATTAGAGATGGAGATTTGCCTGGTGTGGTGGCACACACCTGTGACCCCTGCTCAGGAGGTCGAGACAGGAAGATCGCAAGTTCAAAGCCAGCCTCAGCAAAAGCGAGGTGCTAAGCAACTCAAGGAGACCCTGTCTCTAAATAAAATACAAAATAGGGTTGGAGATGAGGCTCAGTGATCAAGTGTCCCTGATTTCAATGCCTAGTACCAAAAAAAAAAATTGGAGATTTCAGGGACGTGCTAGAAAAAAATTATCTAGATGTTGGAGTGTGTTGGCCTCTTCTTGAGATTTTCCAAAAGATCCTGCAATTTAGCTTTCCACCATGCTGGCAGAATTAGAACACTATACAGCTTTGTTTAGAGTTGCCTTTTCTGCCTTAGGCCAGAAATCCAGAATGCCAAGGGCCAAATAATCATGCATCTTGCATAATGTAAAGTCAAATCCTCTTCTCTAAGCTAAGGTGAATGAGAACAAAACACAGAGGTGGAGAGAGGCTAGAGCTTAGGGCTTGTGAAGTTCCAGAAAGGGGAGGGACTGAATGCTTCTACCCCCTCAGTTAAATAAGATTTATTTGGCTTTGAATTCAGGCAGTGCCTGTGGCCTGATTTCTGGGGTCCTTGACTATGAATCCTGGGGAAGAAGGTGGAATATATTGGTCATAATCCTCATGCACTTTCTTGTACTCTCTAGGTTACCTCCCTTTTTCTCTTTTGGGTGGTACCATGCCTAAACCATGTAATCTCTCTACTTTCACAACTTTGGTGGAAATTCCATGTGGCAGGCCATTAGAGCTGACTTCCCCAGAAGCCATACAGGCAGCAAATAATGCTACTGTTAAGTTTAGGGGAATTAGCTCTCTGTGGGGTGTACCTTGGCCAGTGGAAAACAGATGAGAGGAGAACAGATGGATAAATTCCTTCCAAAATCTCCTATTGGGCAACTGCTCCAAGTTGCAGCTTCTCCTTGCAAACACCATGTACCTAGCAAACACTTGTGACTGTCATGTGACCTGCTCTGTCTTCATGATTTATGTGACATAGTAGTGAACACAGTAATACACTGTCTTACGTTGCTTCCTTTCTCTGCACTTCTCTCTCTGCCCCTATCCTAGGCTTCCACCTTCCCAAATAGTCATCATTTAATTCTGGCCCTCTGCCTCAGAATCTGTTTTCTAGAGGACTGGGTTAAGACATAGAGACATAATCAATGTCCCCATCTCAATACTGATTCCTAATAGTTGGATAGTAAAAAGACCTGAGAACACAGCAGATTTTTCCTTCTCAAATGCAGGGAACTTAGCCCTGACCCCTGGCTTTCTCTCAGGAACCCAGTGACAAGGTCATAGGTCAAGTCATTTCTGGACTACTTTCCAAGAAGCTGAGGCTCATTCTACAGGCTTTCTTCATGGTCCTCTGCATTTTCTGATGAGCATCTAAGACATCCCTTGGGAAAAGCCCTACCTAGGCCTGCAGGCTGTCTTCTGGGTCTCTGTGCTCTTAGGTAGCTAGAGGGCAGGAGGCTAGAAGGTGTTCAAAGTTCCATCAACAGATGGCCACTTAAAGGCTTTGATCAATCCAAGCTGCTAAAAGGTGGAGGACATTTTAATAGCTGTGTCTGAAGGAAGAAAAAAAGTGGCCCTCTGCCCTTTCTGAGTTTGCACTTGACTTAGTTACCCAACTCAGCCTTCCAGGATATCGCCTGGATGGGAAAATCCAGATCCAGGCCTCAGACTGGAAGATAGTAGCTGCATGGCCTGCATAGGCTCTGAGATCCCTGAACCCAAGAGGTAGAACACCAGTCTGTGTAATGGAATATAAAATATACTGACCATGCAAGGAGGCCCAGAGGCCACAAATAGCCTCTGATTCCCTGCTGGGTTTTGTCATGTCACAATGGGGCCAGCACAGAAGAGTAGATACCGAAGATTAGAACTAAAATTGGAAAGAATCAAGGAGATTCTGTGATCTCCACATCCATAGCACCCTCTTTTGGAGGTCATTGCTGCACAGAGACAGGGGTGAGCCTCTAGATCTGGTCAGAGTACACAGGAGAGCCATTTCCAAGGACAGAGGTCACCAAACCCATCTCAGACCAAAAGTCTTTGCTCCTCATATCCAGGACACCCAGGTTGCATCCAAGGAGAAAAATTCATTATAGGAGACCTGCTGAAGGCTAAAGACTCTCCTGACAGTCCCCAAGCTCTAGAGATTATCAGAGGGCCCCATAATCAGTGTCAACTGAAAGAATTTCCTCAGGTATCCTTTGGTGCTTTAAACTCAGTGTAATAATAGGTTGTGTTCTGGAGGGAGAGGAGTGAAGCAAGCTGCCTATTGCTGGACAGAATGAGTGTATGCTTGGTTGCTTCAGTAGTGTCCTAAGAATCTCCTTGGGACTGAGGCCTAGGAGCTAGCACTGCTCAGGATTTTTTTTATTAATTGGGGATTGAACCCAGGGGCACTAACCACTGAGAAACATCTCCAGCCCTTTTAGTATATTTTACTTTGGGAGAGTCTTTAAGTTTTTTAGGGTCTTGCTAAGTTGCTAGGTTGCTGAGGCTGGTTTTGAACTAGCAATCTTCCTGCCTCAGCCTCCTGAGCCACAGAGATCATAAGCATGCACCATCATGTTTGGCTTCACTAAGGAATTTTGACTGATCAGGGCCAAGGTCACTGGAGCATGAATGAGCCATGAGTCAAATAGAAATTATGACTTTGTGAGCACCACCATAGACAGGCCACTATGGAAGCCATGAAGTTGAGAGGAATAGTTAAAGTGTGATGCTAGAGATGTAAACCATATTTCTGAAGGCTAGAAAAAAACTCTTGGAAGAAGTATCAGCAAGATTCTCGATGATGCGGGGCTGGGGATGTGGCTCAAGCTTGCCTGGCATGCGTGTAGCCCAGGTTCGATCCTCAGCACCACATACAAACAAAGATGTTGTGTCCGCTGAAAACTAAAAAATAAAATATTAAAAAAATTCTCTCTCT